ACCCATCCCCCATCCCAGGCGGAGGAAGCACACCCTCCTCCTCCTCCTCACCCAAACCCCCATCCCAGGCGGAGGAAGCAGAGCCCTCCCGCTCCATGGCGGGGCCCAGCCCGGCCGAGCAGCTCCGCGCCGAGGCCTCGTGTCCCGTGTGCCTGGAGCTGTTCCAGGAGCCCGTGTCCATCCCCTGCGGCCACAGCTTCTGCCGGGGCTGCATCGAGCGCTGCTGGCAGAGCTGCCGGGGCTCCTTCGCCTGCCCGCGCTGCCGGAACGTGGCCCCGGAGCCCGGCCTGAGACCCAACCGAGAGCTCGGGCACGTCGCTGACATCGCCCGGGGGCTGCTCCCGGCGGCACCGGGTTCCCTCTGCGGGCGGCACCGGGAGCCGCTGCAGCTCTTCTGCCGGGACGAGCGGGCGCTGCTGTGCCTCGTGTGCGGCCGCTCCCGGCTCCACCGGCTGCACCGCGTCGTGCCCGCCGAGGAAGCGGCCCAGGAGTACAAGGTAGCACCGCGCAGCCCCCGGGGAGCGGCGCTCCGGGGGAAATCCACCCCCGGCTCCCGTGGGAAACGGGAATTGTCGGCTTTCAATTGCTCGGTGGTGATTTCGGTGCCCAAAGTGTGTGAAAACGCCCCCAAATGCTTCTCTTTAGTGGTGTTTTTAATCTGGTCTCAAGGGCGTCTTCACTGTTTCACAATAAATATAAATTATTTTTGGTCCGTTAGTTACAACTAATTTAGAAACCACTTTTCTGATCCTTTTCTATTCTCCTGCAAAAAGACTTCTGGAAAATCTTATATAAACTTAAAGAAGTTATAAATCGACACCGGTTCTTGTAGATATAAACACCTGCTGAAGAAATCTGCCTGAGATTGTTAAAGACTGAGATCTTTATCCCAGAACCCAAATTTCTGGAGGCCACGAATGGTTTTTGGGGGGAATCTCTCTTATCTGGGGCTCCCAGCCCTCCCTGGGTGCGGGGTTGGCTCTGGCTCTGCTCCTCGCGGTTCCTACGCAAGGCGTATCCCATCTCAGACGAGGAGTGGAGGAAATTTTAGTGGGAAAATGGATTTTTCTCAGCCCTCTGAGTTCACCTTTTATTTCCCTGCAGGAGCAGATCCAAAACTGCCTCCAGGCTTTGAGGGAGGAGAGAGAAAAATACCTGGAAAGCCGAAAATCCGGCGCTCAGAGGAGTTTGCACCTGGTGGGAGCCCCCGAGAGGAGCTGGGGGGGTCGGGGAGCGGTTTGGATCCCGGGGCGGGGACGGGTTTGGGTCGTTCCCTCTACCCCAGCGGTGTTTTGAGGCTAAATCTCCCGGATTTGGCTCTCGGAGCGCTGCGTTCCGTGTTTATCTGGCGGGGTTCAGCGCAGGCTGCGCCGGGGAGATAACGCGGAGCTGGGAGGGGAAGGAGGGCAAGGGAGGCATCTCGGCCCTTCTGCCGCCCCCTTCCCTCACCGCCGCTCCCGGCAGGACAAAACCAGGAGCGAGGGGCAGCGGATGGCGCAGGAATTCCGGGAACTGCAGCGATTCCTGGAGGAGAAGGAGCGTCTCCTCCTAGCCCAGCTCGGGGACCTGGACAGGGCCATCGGCCGAGCCCAGGACGAGGCGCTGGCCAAGGTCTCGGAGGAGTTATCCCAGCTGGACACCCTCATCTGGGAGATGGAGGGGAAATTCCAGCAGCCCCCGAGCCACTTCCTGCAGGTGAGAGCCCGGAGCTCTTGGACTGGGAGGGGAAAAGGCGGAGCAAACAAAATCCAAGACCCAGGAGCCCGAATTATCCCCACAGGGGCTCCCCTGGTGTCACTGCCGCAGCCCTGGGGATGTCCCGGGTGCGACAGAGCTCGGACACCTCTTGGATGGGGATCGGGTGTGGATTAGGATGGGTTTTTAAGTCACTGCGACCCAAACCAGGCTGGAATTCTTTGATCCCGGGGCTTGAAGGAACGGTCTATTGTTCCTCCTCTCTAACCATCTCCTCTCTCCTCCCACCTTTAGGACCTCCAGCAGCTCCTGGACAGGTAATGCAGCTCCTTCTCCCTTCTCGCACCTCTGGGGCCGTCCAGGCGAATCCCGAGGTCGAGGTTTCCTTCCAATTCCCACTCTGCTGCTTCGGGCTCGGGAATTTGGGTCTGGGGGAAGGAAACTGCCCAGGAAGGGCAGGGGAAAGGGGCTTGGATTTGCAGCTGGGATAAACATCCTCAGCCCATCCCATAACGGCCCCCGGGATATTTAATGAGAATAAAATGAACCATCAGACTGGAGGGTTTTTCCCGTTTTTGGCTTCTTTGCAGCTGTGAGATGATGAAGTTCCACCCCCCGGCCGAGATTTCCTCTGATCTGGAGAGGAGCCTCGAGGATTTTGTCCAGAGGAACATCCTGGTGAGGGGCGCCTTGAGGAGATGCCAAGGTGCCGAGCAGGACTGGCAGGGGCCTGGTGTGGGAATCCAGAAGGAGGGGGGTCCCTGGGAGGGAGATCCAGGAGAAATGGGGTCCCTGTGTGGGATATCCAGGAGCTGTTCACCAGAGAAGGACCCTGAGGTTTTCCCTGAGGTATTTCCTGGGACAAAACTCAGTTGGGGGTTGGAGAGAAGAGAAAAACCAGCCCAGCAAAGGAGTTTCCCCTCCCAGGTCTCACCTGAAAAGCGGATTAGGGGTCACTGGTGGGAAAATCTGATCCCGTGTGGGTGCAAAGCCAGGGAGAGGACAGAGGGGGGATAAATCCATGTGCACAAATCCTTGGGGATGAGTTTTGCTTGGCCAGGGGATCTGTCCCGTGGGATGAAGGTATTGTCTGACCCCGAGTCTGTGAAATTCTCTCCTCAGACAGCCTCATGTTCCAGCTGCAGGAGCCGGGTGAGTCGGGGTGAGGAAATGGAGGGTTTGGGCTCGTGGGAGAATTTCCCATGGAAAAACCGGTGTCGTTCCTGCTGCGGGGAGGGAGGGAAGAGCGACGGTCCTGGTGTGTGCAAGGAGTGGGAGAACGGGGCCGATCCAGGTGCTGGGAGGAACAGGAGCATCTCCATCCTCGGGAAACGGGATAGCGGGGCGGATCCCGGGCTCCGGGAGGAACGGGAGCGCCTCCGTCCTCCCCGACCGCCCTCCAGCGCTCCCTTCTCCCGCAGCCGACGTCACCCTGGACCCCGGCACGGCTCATCCCCACCTACAGCTCTCGGAGGACGGAAAAGAAGTGCGAGGGCAGCTGGTGCCGAGGGACGTCCGGGACCACCCCGAGCGCTTCGACTTCGAGCCCTGCGTGCTGGGGCGGGGGGGCTTCGCCTCGGGCCGGCATTTTTGGGAGGTGGAGGTGGGGCAGGGCGGGGTGTGGGCGCTGGGCGTGGTGCGGGAGTCCGCGCGCAGGAGGGGCCCCCTGAGCCTGACCCCCAAAGAGGGGGTGTGGGCGCTGGAGGCCTTTCATTCCCTGACCTCCCCCCGCGCCAGCCTCCGCCTGCAGCCCCCGCCCCGGCGGCTCCGGGTCTCCCTGGACTACGAGGGGCGCCGGGTGGCTTTCTTCAGCGCCGGCGACGACATTCCCATCCTGGAATACACCCGGGCCGCCTTCAGCGGGGAGAGGGTCCTGCCCTGGTTCAAGATCGGGATGGGGGCGCGGCTGCTGGAGGTGACGCGGTGCTGCGAGGACCGGGCGGTGGCCGGGCAGGTCACGTCGCCGCTGGACTGGGTGGGCTTCGGCTTCTCGCTGCGGATCTGCCCCTGAGGGGCTGCGGGGACGTGTCCCGAGCGATGCCGCGGGAATTCGCCGCCCCTCTGCGTCCGTCGGGAGCTCTGGGATGGCCCCAGGGATCGGCCGGCGGCCGAGTGGAGCCCTGGGGGCGGAGAGCCGGGCTCCGTGTGTGTGGATTTTACCTTTTACCCTTGGCAGAATGGATCCTCCCGCTTTCCTCTCTTCCCAAAGTGCTTTTTGTCCAGGGTGTGTCCTGAACCCTTCACCTCTCGCTTTGGGGAGCTGTTTCCCATCTCTGTCCACGTCCCCGACGTTTGTCTCAAATAAAAGAACATTTTGTGTTGCACCCTCGCCTCCCTGCCCCGCCAGGAATTGTGTTCCTCTGGATTTCTGAGCCTCTGGGTGATAAATTAGGAAAATCTGGGGGGGATGAGGACACCTCGCTGAGCTTGCGCCTCCCCAGCCTTTCACACAGGCCGCGGAGCCACACAAACCCTCCTGGAATCCAATTTTCCGCATTATTACTCCCCAAAAACGCTGTCCCCCCGTGCTGGCCGATGGGGAGGGACGAGGTGGGATCAATCCCAGGGCGGGTGGTGCCTCGGCCTGGGAAGGACAGAGGCAGGACACTGGTTCCGGCACTTTTTGCTGCTTTCAAAGACACCGATTTCCTCAAAAACGCGCGATTTTCGTCCGAGGAAGCCCAAAAGTGGAAGCGGCAGCACCGAAACAGCCCCGTTATTAATTCCGGAACCGAGAAGAGGAACCGAGAGCTGGGCCCGGAATAACAGGCACGGGATGAGTGGAGACCCCTCCCCATCCCCCGGGTCCCTCCCGGAGGCAGCTCCTGGCATAACGCCGTGTCCCGGGAATTCTCCGCATCCCTCGGGGCCAGAGATCCCTGTTCCCGACTCCTCCAGGGTCCCTCCCTGTCTCTGATCTCCACCCAGGGAGTCCCTTCTCTCCAGAACGATGCAAAGCTCTTCCCACCCGGGCTGGTTTTCCAGGCTCTGCCGACTCCTTTTCCCACCCGATTCCCCATCCCAAGACGGAGGAGCCGAGCCCGAGGCTCTGCCGCTGTTTCACCGGGATCCGCCCCCTTCCCTTCTGCCGAAACTTTCCCGGGAGCCTTTTTGGGGTGTTTGCTCCCAGCGCTGCCGTTCCCACAGCCAGCGACTCCTCCCTGGCTCTTCCCGGTGGGAAACGTCAGCTGGAATCGAGATTTTTATCTCCAAACCTGCCCGAGCTGTGGGTCCCCACAGCTCGGTGGCAGAGACCCTGCCACACAACAGTTCCATAAAAATAAATATGAATTTATCCACAGAGCTCAGTGGAGGAGCAGAGGGTGGGAAATTCCCTGGAGAGGTTTCCTGGTGGTCTCAGAGCCCTGGCTTGGCCACAGGGATGGAGGTGAAAGGAAGTCCGGGACCCCAATTCGTCCCTCTGCCAACCCCCTCAAGGTCCTGCTTGTGCTTTCCCCTCCCTTTCTGCTTGGATTTGCCCCATCCGTGGTCCCGCCAAGCCCTGGGAGCCCCTCGCCCACGGGAACCTGGACATCCCGTGTCTCCAGGATTTTTTTGGAGAGGTGGATGCTTTTAATGCAAAAGGAGTGGGGTGGCAGCTCCCTGAGGCAGCAGCTCCAGGCATAAAATCCTGGAATTGTGATGAGGAAAAGCCGGGAGAGGTGGGGGGAGACCTGACGCGCAAGCTCAGCCCAGCCGGATTCACCCGGGACAGGGAAGGAACAGGAGAGGAAGGATCCAGCCTGGACAAAGGGATAAACCCGGCAGGGTCTGGATCCCTTGGGAAGGAATTCCAGCGGGGATTCGGCTTTCTGAGCCAAGAGAGGAGGATCCCGAGGAAGGACAGCTGCCCTGGAGTGCGGGAAACTGGAAGACCTGGTAGGTGCCACCTGCTGAGCCTCGGGGACATTTAGGGACACACCGAGCTCGGGAACCTTCCTTTGGGAGGGAGGACGCCGGTACCGCACGCATTTGGGCAGAATTTCACCAAATTCGGGCAGGGAGCTGCGGGGATTTGCGTGGGGATTTGAATCCAGAGGTGTTCTCCCGTGGGAAATGCCTCTCCCTGAGTTCCTCGGGATATTTCCCACCCCGCTTTCCTTTAGTTTGTCACTTAAATCCCGCTTGGGTTTGGGGCTGCAGATTCCAGGGGGATCCTGAGCTCTCTCTCTCTTTCACAGCTGCAAGACCTGAAAAATGAGCTGGAGAAGAGGCAGGCGAAAAAAACCCCGGAGATTTCCCACCCGGACACCCCGGCACAGGGGCAGGAAGAGAAGGATCAGCAGCTGGTGAGGGAATTCTCCTGTTTTGAGGGAAACTCAGAGGGAGGGACCTCCCCACTGCGTGAATAATTTGGATTCTCCTGGTCCCCGTTTGGTCCTGTTCCCTCCGGAGCCCCGAGGGGATGAGGAGAGGGAAGTTTGGCCTGTAAAGATGGGGAAAAGGGAATTAAATCCCCTTGGGAGGGCTGGTGGTTCCCTATATTTCCAAATAATTCGCTTTGCCGTGATTCGAAGGATCTCACGCTGAGCTGCCTTTCCTTTCTCTCTTCCCCCAGGATGTGAAAAGCTCCTTCAGCAGGTTTGTGGTCTCCCTGAGAACCTTCTCCATGGATTTTCCCAAGAGGAATGGAGGTGGAGGGAACTCGGATCTCGCCAGCGCCGCTCGAGGCTCCTCCTCGGCTCCAGGAAGGAGCCTTTGGGTCCTTGATCACTTTTGGGATGTGCTGATCCACCGGGATTTGGTCTCAAAATATAAAAACAATTGAAAGTCTTGGCTCTTCTCTCTAGTCCAGTCTTCCTCAAAAATTCCTTCCTTTCTCATAAAAAATAAGATTTAGTTAAAAGAAGAGATGAATCCAACAGGGAAATTCGGCTTTTGATCTCCTGGATTTCCGAGGGAAGGGCGGAAATGGAAGCCCAGCATTCCAGCAGCACCATCCCTCATTGCTGGTGGCTCCTGAAAGCTCTCTGGTTGTTCTGAGAAGTGCGAGGGGGGGTTCTTGGTTTCATTTCTTTTGTTCCAGATGTGGAAAAGTGACTTTCCAGCTGCCCCTGGATGCGGCTCCGGAGCCAGAGGAGCGAGTTTGTCATTTCTCATGGAGGAGCAGCGCCCTGAAGGAAACCCTGAGGAAGCTCCAAGGTACCCAGAAGGAGAACAAAAATAGATTTAAGTCATATTTTGGGAGAGCTGGAGTAGCTGAGCTGCCCTGCTCCTGTCCCGGGTATAAATTGGGAATAGAAACATTGCAGGGAGAAGGTGGAGATGGGGGAGAGGAAGGGAAAAGGGCATTTTCTGGTATGAAAAAAAAAAAAAAAAGAGAGAGAATTTGAAAATCAGGGGGACCCAAGGAGGTTTTTCATTAATTTTATTTATTTCAGCCCAGCCAGCCGGGTCTTGCCTGTGGCTGCTGCAGACTCTGCTCATTTTCCTCCCACGTCACCTCTTCCCTCCCTCTCCTTGGTGTTTATTTCCTTTGGATTTCTGTACCACTGTTGCTGCGGTTTTTCTTTGGATTTTTTGGGGTGAAATCCAACATTTTCTGTTTCAAGGATGGCACTTCCCATAAAATCGTGAGGCAGCTCCTGGGGTTGTCCTGTGCAGGGCTGAGAGTTGGACTCAGGGACCCCTGTGTTGCTTTCCCAGCTCGGATATCCCGGGAATACCCTGGGCTGGGAGGGTTTTCCCCAGTTTTGGGAGGTTTGCTGATGCTTCTCCCAGGCGACCCAGGAGGAGGGACCTGAGATCCTCAGATGCCGAACGGGGTCTGGTCCTGAGCCCTGGCTCTGTCCCCCACAGCCAGCGTGACCCTGGACCCCAACACGGCTCATCCCAACCTCGTCCTGTCCAAGGACGGGAAGAGCGTCTGGCACGGAGCCGGACGCCGCGACCTCCCGGACAGCCCGGAGCGCTTTGACTACTGGCCCTTCGTGCTGGGCCACCAGGGCTTCGTGGCCGGGCGGCACTGCTGGGACGTGGATGTGGGGGACGGCGGCGACTGGGCCGTGGGGGTGGCCCGGGAATCCGTGCGGAGGAAGGGGCGGCTCAGCCTGGGCCCCCAGGGCGGCATCTGGGGCCTGGAGAAGTGGGGGGGACAGATCCGGGCGCTGACCGGCCGCAAGGTGACCCTGGTGGCCCTGCGGTGGCTGCCCCGCAGGGTCAGCGTCCACCTGGACTGCGGCGCGGGCACCGTGGCGTTTTTCGACGCCGAGGACGGGGGGCTCCTCTTTGTCTTTTCCCGTGTGTCCTTCGCCGGGGAGAGGGTCCGGCCCTGGCTCTGGGTGGTGGGGGCCAGGTCCCAGCTCCGGCTCTGTCCCTGAGGGAAAAACGTTCCCCGATTTTCACAGTCTCGGGGGGAAACTGGAGCAGCCCCTGGGGCAGCTTTGTGTTTCCTTCTCTGCCGGGGGAAGGGAGAAACTTGGGAAACCTGGGAAAAACAAGGCAAAAGAGGGAGATGAAGCTGTGAAGAAGGGACTGTGGGCCAGAGAAGTGGGAAACAGTGGGGAAAACGGGAAAAATCAGGATGGGAAGGCTTTCCTGACTGGCTGTAGGTAATCCCATCTGAGCTGGTCACCTCCAAACAAAGGGCTCCAAATTACATTTTTTTAGCCTTTTTCCCAACCTCCAATGCATGGAATTGACCCAAAGCAGCCCTTTTCCCCCTGGAAAAGGTCCCCAGGTGACCAGGTCTGTGTCTTCCTTGATTTATATCATTAATAATAAAAAAGGGTGTGATTTCCCGCTCTGTGTCCTTCCTGACTGCTGGCAGTGGCCCGTGGCTTCCAGGTAGAAGGGACAGGGACAGTCCCTGGGCCACCTGCACGGGCCTTGTGGCTTTTCCAGGGTGCAAACACCAGGAATGGGGTTTAATTAAACAAAATTCCAGCTTGATCCCCACACCCAGGAGCAGCAAACACCAAAAAGAGAAGAAGTTAAAACACGTAAATGTCGGGGTTTTACTTTATCCAAAGCCAGAGGAGAGGAGAGAAAAGGGATTGGGACGGCGCAGGATGGGGTGGGACAGATGAGGCTCCGTTTTCAGCCACCAGATTTGGGGTGACAACTCGGGACAGCGACCCCGAGGGATGCTCAGCATCTCTGAAAGAGACTTCAGCAGACGTAAGTCCCTGGAAGTGCCAGGAGTGCGGGATAAACCTCGGGAATTGGGGAAGCTCAGGGGCACAGGGTGATCCGGGAGCCCTCGCCCCACACCAGGAACCAGGGGTGGATGCTCTGCCCCTTGAACGAGGCTGCCGGGAAGGCGAAGATCAGACTTCTCTTATCAGCATCAAAAAAAGCCACCTGGCCCCTCTCGTAGTCCAGGGCCACTCGCACCCTGCTGGGCGCCCGGATCGGGAAGAGCGGGATGCGCTCCAGGGAGGTGAGAGCCCAGAACTGGCCCTGGCAGAGCCCCATGGACCAGAGCTCCCACTCGGCGCTCCCGGGGGTCTCTGCCCCTCTCCCGGGGGTCTCTGCCCCGCTCCCGAGGGTCTCCCTGGCCACTCCCAGGGCCCAGGACCCCGCGGGGGCCACCTGCACGTCCCAGCAGCGCCTCCCGGCCGTGACGCCCTCGCGGCCGAGCACGGAGGGGTCGGTGCCGGGTCCGGGTCCGGCTCCGTCCCCGGGAGGGTCGGTGCCGGGTCCGGGTCCGGCTCCGTCCCCGGGAGGGTC